CTTATTAAAAACATAAAAAATATTTTTAAATTTTATATGGCTCAGGGAATTTATCCAGTAAAAGTTATTTATTCAGTTAAAAGGTTAATAAAATCCAATAGAAAAAAAATAGCTCCAGACCATAGATAAATGCCCAAAAATGTTCAATTGTTTGTCAACTGTATAGATAGTCCTTATTGTATTATAAAGAAGAATTAATTTCTAAGGTAAACAGGAAAGTTGTGGCAGAAATTGCTAGCTACTTACTCAATACCATTCTCCCCTTCCATGTGAACAAAACCTGTTTTACTGAAGATGACCCTGAGCCTAGCTAACAGACATTTTCCCATCTTTCATTGCAACTGGAAGAATGACTTCTCGATATAATCCTGGCCAATGAAATGTAATCAGATTCTAAAAAGAGGCTTGAGTTAAGGGTATAACATCCTTTTGCCCTTCACCCTCTACCTCTTCCTGTCTGGCAGGTGGATGTGGTACTGGATGCATCCTTATCCATCTTGTCATAGCGATGCAACCTAGTTAGAGCCAAGACAGTTCTGGGCCCTCAGGATGGCCATAGTTAGCAGTGAGCGGTGATGGCAGTCATCTCATTGTGTGAGAAAAGACAAGCTAGATACTCTATTTGATCTTCTGATTTGAGGAGACAATGGAACTACAACTGAAATACTTAAAAATTTTGGAGGCAGAGATGGACTTGAGATTGATCACAAAGAATATTGTTTTGAATTTGTTGTTGGGGAGAATGCCATGAATAAAACATAGTTGCAAAGATGCAAGTTGTTGCTCAGAGACTCCTACTGGTCATTGCATGAAGCCTGGACTTGCTACAGGTCTGCAGCTAACTACATATTTCTATGGTTCTCAGTTACCACATCCAAAACATAGAATAGATCAGAAATTTTGAAGTCCTTTCCATTAAAAAAAATTCTGTGATTATAATAATCCCACTTGACTATGGAGAAGTCAGTCAGAATTAAAAAGGCAATAGGTCTTGTCCCTCTCTAATCACAAGGCAGTCCAAGTATTGATCTCTCTAAAGTAAAAAACTGATCAAATCCCTCCTTTGCTTCAACTTTCCAATGATTCCCCATTCTCACCAGAATAAACCAATGCTTAGCATGGCTAAGCCCTACCCCTTTGTGCTCAGCCTCTAATAACCTGGCTTATCTCTGTCTCTCTGTTGTGTTTCACCCCCTTGTCCCCTCTGTCCCCTTGCCATGGCCTCAACTCTCCACCCACCCCAACAGAGTTCCCAGCCATATCGAACTATGTGTAATCCCTTATTCTTGCCACGTTCTCTCCAATATCCTGATCTTTAGACATACTTTTCCCTCCACCTGGAATACCTTTTTCCACATATATGTCCCCTTTGAGTAGCCAACTGCTCCTTATCCTGTAGTCTTGGTATAGAGGTGATGTTTTCCTGGAAGCCCTCGCCTACCCCTCAGGTAGAGTTACGTGTACCTGTTAAATCTGTCTTGATACCCCGTGCCTATAAGTATTCTAACACTATTCTTAGTATTTTCAAATAACCTGCTTGCTCACCAGTCTCCTGAACTAGAATGAATTTCCTTGATGGAAGAAACTGAGTCTTATTCCCTTTCCTTTCTCCAGCACTTAGTGTGGTATAACAATACTTGATAAAGAGCTATTGCAGATATCTTTGAATGGATAGTTTGGGACCCAATTGTGGGAAATCTTAAATGAAATACCAGCTTGTTGACCTTTTCAATAATGCCAATAGAAAGGCTTTTGTGACGGAATCAGCATCCATGGCCATGATTGCTCCATTTCCACCTTGCTTGCTCAGTTAGCACTATGGAACAGCGGCACATTTGCACAAACAGGTAAATATGTACTTGAGTATGAAATTAGATTCCATCTTACACAAATTAAGATATAATTTTTATTGGGTACCAAATGTTTGGTGAAAATTCTGAGATAAACTTTAAATTCTCTCCACTGTGTAGTTACTATCACCTTAATTTCGGTTTTTCCATTACCTTGTTTCATTTTGCAGAACACTTTTATTCTATGGGATCATGTTAGGAAAAAAATCATAAATTAGAGAATACTACTTAAGTTGAAAATGGAATAAATGTATCTACTCCTTTTCATTATCATAGAACCATTTTATAAAGCCCGTTTCTTACGTATCTGCAAAAAGAATATATGATTAGGACCTTTGAAACCTGAGGCATCCTTGATTATTCCTTCAGAACATCAGCATTATTATTATTGCTGGAACAGTAAAGTCACAAGCTTCCTATTAATCAGCAAGACTAGAAATCAAAACAGATATAGCTTGAAAATCCTCCTTACCTTCTATTATTTACATGTTTTAATTTGGATTCAGTTCTTAGAGACAGATATGGGATTTTTGCACTGATACTGTCTTCACCATTTTAAAACAAATTTTTGAAAGTAAATCATACTCTACTAGTAGATTTAAAATTTGCATGAAATAGGGGATTTTCCTCTCTTCTCTTGATGTGCCCATGCACCCTGCCAGGATGTAGGAATCTTTGTTTTATATTCCCCAGAGACAGAATTTGAACCTGAAGGAGCGTTGCTGTCGGGGAATCTACTCATGAGATCACTGAGTGAAATAGGCAGGGATTTGAGGTGGGGTGGCAGTCCTCTAGGAGTCTGTGTGCCCTTCCCAGCTGGACATCCTCACTGTGATGGCGGATCCCACTTTGCAAAAGAGCAGCAAGCCCCTGGGACACCCAGCAAGTTCCCATTTCTGTCACTTCATAGAGTGCTAGTGATCACACCCTCCATGCTGTCCTTCCTGCTTGGTCAGAAAAGTGATGGAAATAGTCAAAGTGGGTATCTTACTGTTTATTATTGCCCTCAGGAAAAATTTGTCAGAAAGGTGAGGAAGGATTCCCAGTGCAGAGTCCAGGAAAAACCAACAAAAGTCCCTAGGGTGACCGGAATGCTGCCACCTGTAATGAACACAAAAGTAGTAGCATGCAGTTAAGGAAAATGACGATTGCAATGCTATAAAACCTTGTACTTAGGAACTTTACTTCCCCTTGGCAATATTATTTTCCAAGGATACACCTCCAGGGAGCCCTATCCCTTAGATTGGAAACCATTGCTGCTGGTGTTTCAGGACGTCTGCAGAGAATAGCAGTGGGGATTTTTCTTTAGTTCATACAACTTCCTAGAAATACAGAATAAATGGGGTAGATTTCTTGCCACAAAATCTTGAAGTATTTCAACAAACTGGTGCAGAGAGCTGCATTAGAAATGAACCCGCAGTCCAGGTGAACCTGTTTTCCATTCTAGATCCATAATGTGCTTGGTGATGTGAGAGATCAGAGTTACATGAAGTGTAGTTCCTTGTTCAAGAAATGAGAAATGCTTATGCTTAAAAATCTCATGTGATGGGGGACACAGACAAGCTGGCAGAAAATAGAGAACGGTGGATCCTTTTTTTGTTTAAAGAGTTTATATTTTTGATGATCCATGAAATGTTATATCACATTTACATGGCTTAGTATGAGGAGAAAATTTACAATTATGAGTGAAATGTGAACTTACTTCAAAGTATGAATGAAATATGAACTTGGGTGTTCTCTTAAGAGACTTCCATATATATATAAAATATATATTAATAATATGTAATATAGACGATATTAATATATAAAATATACATTATATAATATGTAAAATATAATATATAATATATTAATATATAAAAATAATGTATAAAATATATAGAATTATATATAGGCACCTTTCTTCAGTTTGGTACAGAAGTTGCGACTTCTTGAAATTTGTCCTGCAGAATTTGGTGGGTATGTATGTGTAGTTTGCTGGGAAAATGACTGATGGCTTTCAATAGAGTCAAAGAATTCTGTGACTGAGAAGAAATTGAGAACCACTGATTTACAGACTCTTACCCCAACTTTACCACATCCTTTACTCCTCTGCACCTCCATTTCAGTCCATTCTCATTAACAATTTGAGAACTGTTTTGTTAACAGCAAAAAGTGGGTAGATGCTATTTGTTGAAAGCCATTGAATTAACCTGTTTGCTAAATTGTCTTATGATTTATAAACTGTCTTGTCTCTTTCCCTCAAAAAGAGTCCCAAAAACTCTTGTGAATTTCAATTTGCCTTTCACAATCCCTGATTTTTTTTTTTTTTCGTTTTAAATGACTTTTGAAGTAGACTGGTTTCTGCAGTGTAATAAATAGCCATCTGGTTTATGTATGCAAACTGTCAGCGATATCATCAACATAAAGGAATACATGTTAATTAAAATCTAGGTCATTCCATCAGATTTAGAAGTCATATTGATCTGTTTTTTAATTTGTTTAACAAACTTGTGTGAAGAATTTACTGTGTACTTGACATCATTGTATTCTCTGTCAAGACCCCAGATTATGAAGGAACATAGAGGCTTAGAGGGGAGACATTTTCAAACTGCGCCTTCCATCTGCTCCATCCCTCATCCCTGTTGATAAGCACTACTGGAAGTGTTCAGTGTCACTGATGGAACTACTAGCCATAGGGACTCTGTTAGATGCAGAAGGAAGATGAAGAAATATCATCTAACATTCTTTGAAAACATCTTCATTTTACATAATGATGAATAAGGAGAAACACAGTTTGAAAGCTCAGAATCATCGATACATTTGGAAATTACATACAGTTATTTGCATATCATGATGTGTTTTAAAACTTCAGAATAAAGTTACTGTAGTTCAAGAAATCTCCACACAGCTTTCCATAGTGGTTGGACCAGTTTGCACTTCCACCAGCAGCAGAATAAAGTTACTGTAGCCTAACTAATCTCTTTGAAATATATGACTGAGAAAAATGTAAACTCGAGGTCTTTTATAGTATTACTGCTCAAACCTTTTTGCAGTTAAAAAAAAAAAGAAATTCAAAGTGGCTAATATTTTGAAAATGTGCATGCTTCAAAGAAAACATCACAAAAGTCCTATCACTTTATTGTTCTACCTTTCCTCTTGTAATTCCAGGTAAGGCACTGACATTTCTCCTGCTGCAGCCGCCAAGCCCCAAACTCCCTCCGCACAGCACTATTCGAAGGACAGCCATCGATCTGATCGGGCGCGGCTTCACGGTGTGGGAGCCGTACATGGATGTGTCAGCTGTCCTGATGGGGCTGCTCGAACTCTGTGCCGATGCTGAGAAGCAGCTTGCCAAGTACGTGCCTACTCCAGTTAATTTGCTTTGATCGTTTGTTTTGGTGGAGGTGATGAATTAATTACCCTTTATAAATGATACATTTTTAGTAGACCAAAAACAAGGACAAATATCTCAATCTATGACATTCTAGAGATACACAGTGAACGAGAACTGGGTTTCTATAATTTTGTATTCATCTGGATTTAGCATTGTGCCAGTGAATGACTGATCTGTGTTTAAATTAGGTTTATTATGCCTGGAGAATTATTAGCTAATAATAACACAAATATATTAATACAATATACATATTTATAAGAAAAAATATTTTTATATATATACATATATACACATACCCACATTTAATATATTTGTTCAAAAAGACATAGCGAAATCATTTGGAGAATTATTCCTTTGCACATATATTAACTTTTAAATTAATTATTTGAGGTTTCAACCAACAGTAAAAAATCAGCCATAGGAGGCTGCAGTAATGCAGGGAGGCAATGATGAGAATGATGGAATAGAACATGGGCTGAGGGATCTGTTCAGATGAAATAAGTAGGAAACATTTGGTAAGCAACTAGCTAAGAGTGAGATGGGAGTAGAGGTTAGTGTTTACTTGAGAACTCAGCCTTCTGATTCCTGGAGGAAATCCTTTTTATTTTTCAGATGACATAAGCGTATCCAATATATAATGTGAAATTGACCACTGCAACCATCTGAAGTCATATACCTCAGTGACACTCAAGTCCACCCACAGTATTATACATCCCTTGCCACTATCTTGTTGCTGGAAGTATGGTCACCCCAAGAAATTCTTCCCCATGAAGCAGTTACTTCCCGTATTTCTAGTCTCCTTTCTCACCAGCCCCTGGCAATTACTTATCTGTTTGCTGTTTCTACGGATTTGCCCATTTTGGATATTTCATTTAAATGGAATTATACAACATATGGCCTTCAATGTCTGACTTCAAACTTGTACCATAATATGTCCAAGGTTCATTCATGAAAAACCTTCATTTTTATTTTCATAGCAGTATAATATTCCATTATGAGTATTTATCTGTTCAGCTGCTAATGGACATTTGGGTTGTTTCTACCTTTCAGCCCTTGTGAATGGATTTGCTATGAATGTTCATGTACGAGTATTTGTTTGAATAGCTGTTTTCATTTGTCCTGGGTAGCCCTAGTGGAATTGAGGGTCACAGGATAATTCTACATTTAACTTACTGAGGAACCACAAGAACTGCTTCCACGGTGGCTCACCATTTTCTATTCCTGCCAGCAGCGTACAAGTTTATTTTCTCTGCGTTCTTGCCATCTCCTGGTTTAAGTGTAGCCAAACCTATTGGGTGTGAATTCCTAGTGGTAGGAACTTCTGAACTATACCATGACGCCTATCTTAATGTAAGAGTTATCACTTCTTTGGTTTTCTCAGTGAATAGCATTTCATTCTCACTATTGGTCAACCTTAAAATATTGGTCTTTGGGAAAGCCTCAGAACATAATGTCAACCTCCCCCGACCCCTAGATTCACCTTCCCAAGCAGTGCTCCCTCTGTTTCCACAGCTCTCTTAATTCTCTTGAGAAGATTTTAACATTTTTCGATTACCCAGAATTTTACTTTTGGCCTAATTTTTGAGACAATTTTCAAATCTGACTTAAACACAATTTCAACAGTATGCACTCTATTTTGTTGTCTGGGAGAAGTGATTTTTACTTTAGGTTTAGTACTTAGTATTTTGTTTTTAAATTAGCTTGTGTGAAGCTTCTATCAGCAAACATAAAATGAACTTGTGTTTTATCTACATGTGGTATGTCCAGAGACACAAATACTATAGTTTTTCAGTAGGTAATTTAAATCTTGCTATTACATCCTTTTCTGTCATGAAGATTAGTATGATTCTCTATACACAGCTCTGAATAAATGAATGTATCAGCATGTAGCCTTGAGGAGTCCGATGTAATTTTCATCATGATAAATTGCATAATAAGCAAGAAAATGTTTGCTTATTAATCTATAACAAGATTTAGATTGAAAATGGCCTGTTATATCCATGACACACTGGGCGCAGACTGCACAAGGACTGAGGTGGGCTTAAGTGGACCAGAGACCTGGAGGGGCGCCGTGGGCATCTCACCCTCACAGTGTCCCACTGGGTGCCTCCTTTTTTGCCTGATTCACCGTGAACATGACCGTGCATGGCTGCCTTGCTTCTGACTGTGATGTTAAACTTGCTTCTCAAAGAAGCTTTTGTGTTAGGCTTGTGCTTCTTAAAAATTACAGTTCATGTTTATTGGAAAAAGAAAAAAGCACAAACAATATTTCCTTCCTTATTTCCATTCTTGTGAGCTGATGAGGGAGGGGGCTTAAGGAAGAGCAGCTAGCTCAAGCCGGCTACCTACTTCTAGAGAACTTATGTGAGAGCAGTTTTTCTCTCTCTCCTCAACATGGGCATCCTCTGTTGGAGCCAAGTCCTGAGAGGTCTCAAAAAAACACTATGGAAGGCTCAGGATTAAGGGGGCCTTCTTCCAGATTTAGACTATTTTAGAACTTTATTTTAGAACTATTTCTAAATTTTTTTGACATCTTTGAAGTTCAAAATAAAGCAAGTTCTCTTTGGATGGTTTAAAGTATGTTCACCAACTGAGCAAGCATTTATTGAGTAACTAATACATAGAAGGAACAATTCTAGGATTACATGTAGTTACAAAGTTGCCTCAAACCAAGATCCTTTTCCACATCACTTGCTTTCTTGCAGAGTAGGTAGATAGGACCTGTCCAGAAAGGTTCTGAAGCCAGGAAGTCCAAGATCAAGTTGCCAGAGGCAAATTTCATGGAGGCCCCTCTCTAGGCTTGGCTGTGACAGCCATTTGCCATGTGCTCACGTGACTTCTTTGTGCTCATGACTGGAGAGAAAGAGAGCAAGCCCTCTGTTGTCTCTTATGAGGGTACAGATGCTGTGACCTCAGCCCCAGTCACGGCCTCATGTAACCCTAATTAACTCCCCAGGACCCATCCCCACCTACTGTCACATTGGGGGATAGGGTTTCAACATATGATTTTTAGGGAGACACAACTTTCAGTCTGTCACAGAGGGCCATGATTTGATAAGAGCTTGTATTTCCCACTGAATATTCTTTAATTTGCCAGGTGGCAATTGTAGACCGTGAAGTGAATGGAAGTGGCCTTATGTGTAACTTTTAAAGTGCTTTTTACTCAAATGCAGTTAGACTTGGAATGGGGCAGTCATGTAAGACATGAGCCTGGCCTACGTGGGCTATTTTTCTATTGATGATTTTTATTTATAATATCTATCATCTCTGGTTTCATATTGGATATGTATACTGAACCGCTGGGTAAAATAATGGGTCCTATCACTTTTAAGATTAAAAACTGAAAACAAAAACCCATCCTATAAACCTACATAACCAATGATCTGCATAACAGCCAGCTTGGCAGGATCAGATGAAAACAGTTCTGTATTTACATCCAGATTCCAGGAAAAGGCAAATACCCCTTTAATTTTAAGCCTCTGATAGTATGATCCTCTTTCAGTCAGAATCCCACATTAAAATATATCACATACACAGTGTACTTTCGACTTTCAAGATCACTACATGCAGAATTAGAGTCCGTCCGTTGGGAGCACCAGATCAATTACTTTGACTTCATTGCCTGGTCAATTCAGTCAAATAACTGGCTTAAGTGATTTTTTTCCTGCTGAATTTTCCAGGTAACTTCATTGAGTGCAAAACTCTTGAGCTGTGCTCTGTCCACTTAGGTGGGGACAGGGCGTGGGGGGGTGTGCAGGGGAGGGTGGCGGTGTGGGAGTGAGGGGGAAGATATGCGGAGTTGGGAGGTACAAACCCAATCTGTGTAGAGTTTGCCATGCACAATTAATCCATAATGCCTGGCATAATGAGGTTATGGAGTAACCTCAGTGCTGAGGGCCTGGAGTACACAGGTTTGTTGTTGTTACTGTTTTTATTTCAGTAATTGCTAACTGAGTGCCAAGCCATTGTAGAGCCCCACGAGGACTTCCACAAGAGTTCAGCAGAGGAGAGGAGGGAGAGAGTGTGAGTGGGGAAAAGGCTGGGGTAGAAGCACTAGCAAAATACTATAGTTAAAAACAAAAACAAAAAATAAAGAATAGAACAGTTGGGACCAACTTTGAAATCAGTCCAATCTCAGGATCATGGTGTTGAAAAGACATGAGTTATAAATCGGTGAAACTAGATCATGGAGGGCCTAGAATCTCAAGCCAAGGAATTTATGGTTTTTGTTAGAAGCACTAAGATCCACTGAGGTTTTTCAGTGGGTTAGCCAGGAACTAAAGGTGGTGCTTTGGGGGGATTTCTCTAGCTGAGGATGCTCTGATTCCCCTGGGCCTTGGCATTTCTTTTCTGTTACGACACCCACTGGCCTCCCACATTTGCTCTGTGGATGCTCTAGAGATCACCGCTGAGTCCTGAGCTCAGAGCAGCAGAGGTGGCCACATTCTGCAGTCCTGTAGCCGGACCCCCATTGGAACATCAGTGCCAGAAGCCGCTGACTGGAAACACTGGGAGCACAGGTGGCACTGCTACAAATTGTCGAACTCGGGGCAGGACTTTGTGTGTCTTTGGTTGGCTCCTCCCCCATTACCCTACAGCAACTCTTGCAGGCCCCAGCTTTACAACTCTCTCAGTTGGAAGTTTACCTGATTTCTCCAGATTCACAAGTTTATTTGCTGAGTTGGAGGAAGGGCAACAGGCCTTTAACTTGGAACCAATGACCTGCTGTTATTAGGTCTTGTTTCCTTTTTCTTTATTTGTGTGTCGTCTTTGCTCAGAAGAGGCATCTGTTATCCACAGGATCTAGGTCAGGGTAGGGCTTGTCATCAGGATTGGGAAGGAATATGTCATGTGTCCATTTTACAGGCACTGTGCTTACTTAGCAGAGAAGGGTGGAGGGCACAACATCCACTTGTCTCTGTGGCCTGAGCTTCAAAAGTCTGTCAGCTACAACCTCATCTTCTTCCTGCCTGAAAGTATATCCGTAACATTTCACTACTACCTTGGCTCCTTACAGGACTTCACTATACATGCTTCTTCATTTGGAAAATCCTGATAGAACCCACCTCTGAGAGGTGTTCTGGGGCAGGCACAAGAGGTTGTGCAAGAGCACAGGAAAGCCCCACTTCAGAGCTGGTCTTGGGGCCCCACGTCCACCGCTCTCTCTTCTCACCAGGCCTTCCAGAAGTGGGCTGGCCGGCCAGCTGGACACAGACATCCGTTCCCTGGCTGACGGCTTGGCGGGGTGGTGCCTTGCAGATCTCTTTTTTTTTAACTCCAACATTCTGGGATTTTTTTTGATATTACAAAATTTGTTTTAGGTTGTTTAGAATTATTCAATTAACATATCAAGTGTTTGTTTCAGTATCAACAGGGATTCCTCCATACTGATGAAAGAAACGAAACATCGTAGCATGTCAAGGAAGTTTCAGCAGCGTTTGAAGTTTTAAAAACTTGACTCTTAAAATATGATCTAAACTCTAGGATCATTATTACACAATCTAGTCCCAGCACTATTCACATAGTAAACATCCTTTTTTCCTTTTGCTGAATAGCATGATAATAAAAAGTAGTAAAGTCAGAAATGGAACCAGCTAACCTACTCCATTTCCTGCCAAACACCTCTTTCTAGCCCTCTGGGTCCCCACAACATCAGCTTCTCCCTTGGTGAAACACACTCAGCCATTCATTCCCTCTGTTTATTCTTCAGTAATTTCACATTTTCTTTTTAGTGGTAAAAACCAGAGGAAGGGCCTCCCCGGTGGCACAGCGGTTGAGTGCCGTAGGGCCGGTTTGATCCCCGGCCGCTGGTAAGGGTCCGACGTGGCGTGCAGACCTCTCCTGCCGCTCCCACTGCTCCCCTCAGCAGTGTACTTCAGTCCCTCTGCCTGTTCTGCCCCCCGCTCCGGCTATGGTGAATTTGCTTACCCTCCCGCGCTTCTGACAGTACCCAGTGCTTATATAAATAAATAAATAAATAAACAAACAAACAAATAAATAAATAAATCTTAAAACAACAACAACAGAGGAAGGCCCTGCATTAACCTCTCCTCCGAGTTCCTGCTTCATACCTATTCTCAGTTTGTGGGGAAAAAATAGATACTATTATATTATCAGTCAAAGACTTAAGCAGTATTATAATCCCAAAGAAATTAAAAGCAGAAATCTCTATAATCAATTTAACTTCTTTTAACAATGATGAAAACATCTGTTTACTGCATCTTTATTTTCAACTGAAGTTGAAATAAATGATTCTGAAGTCAAAATGATTCTTAGATCAATTATGGAGACATTGGCAAACTTTTTGAGAATTTTAGTGAACATAATCCAGTTCACACATGAGCTGTGAAGGCCAGAGGGAAACTTGACTTATTATTTACTAAGAGCAGGACAGATCTTATGATAATTTCATATAGATATTTAAGTTTAAAATTATTTAACTAGAAGAAGAAATTACAACTGAATCTCGTACTGAGTAACAAAATACACTTATACAGTTGATGTGTGGATCACATGCCACATTTTAGCTTAGTTATGTATTGTAATAAATGGGGCTTGAAAACAGAACATAATCATTTTTTGTTTTAGGAGTGTAATGAATACAGGGTCATGACCCTATCAGGACATTCTTATCATTTAGAAAGTCTTTTTTCATCATATATTCTTTTTTTTTTTAAAGATTTGTTTATTTATGCATACAAGAACTGGGGTACAGGCCAGAGGTGTGGATGGTGAGAGGATTCACCAGAGACAGAGTAGGGAACAGAACAGGCAGATTGACTGAAATACACTGCTGAGGGGAGCAGCGGGCGAGTCAGGAGAGGTCTGCTGTGCCATGTGGGTTGCTCCCTGGATGGTGCTGCAGTGGCTGCAGATTGCTTCATAGGTTGTGTCTTAACCCTTTGCACCACCAGTGAGGCCCCTCGTCGTATATTCTTATATATAGACTAGACCCTGCTATGCATGAGTTCTTAATAGAATGTTTAGAATAAGTATCAGTTAATATAATTTTTGCATCAATATGAAATAATATGCTGATTAGTACGTGGGTTCAATAAGGATCAAATGTGGAGTAAACTGGCAATGCTGACAGTATTTCAAGCTAAAAGTAATATACAAACTAAAAATAATTTTGACATTTTCCATTCATTTGATAATTTTATGGCCAGGAGTGAATTTTGCTTCTATTCAATATGCAGTATTACCCAAAACAGAGCTTTTTAATGTGACCTTATAAACAAATTCTTACCTTCCACTTTTTCAGGAAAAACATTGAAAATACTCAGCACAATATTCATTCTTGCCTTATTCTGAGCATTGTGATATGTATTCAGTACTAGCACTTGATAATTTGTTAACAAGACTTTTTAACACTTTGGACAGATGCACATACTGTTTTCAATCTTCACGGTTAATTATTCGATTTTGTATTTGATGCCAGAACACCCTGACTCCTAATCACTGCTCATTGTTGCAAGTCCATTATATTCTAACTGTTTGAGTGCTCCCATTGACCTTGAACTGACATTATAAGCTGTGTCTAATCTTTTCAGTCTATATTTCTAATGCTTCTTTTCTTTTTTCCTTTTTTTCTGATCCCTGTTTAGCATCACAATGGGGCTGCCTCTGAGCCCAGCAGCTGACTCCGCCCGCTCGGCCAGGCATGCCCTCTCGCTCATTGCCACGGCCAGACCACCCGCCTTCATCACCACCATAGCCAAAGAGGTGAGCAGAAATTGGCATGAGCCCCACCAACTCATTTTGAGGAGGAGTTATTTGATATTGTAAGCTGAGGGTCGGTGCCCACAAATATTCCTTCCAGTTTGTTCTAGAGAAATGCAAGTTAATAGTTTAGTATTGAGATGAATGCCTGGATTCCAAAGCAGTGCTTTCATTACCTTTGCTTTGTATTTATTTCTGTTTCCAAGTTTAATTCACTTGAAAAGATTTGACAATAATTTTTCAACCTGAAATAATAGCAGGTTTATTCAAATTAGAACACATTAAAAGTATTCACATTTTACAAGTGCAAGTACCTACCTGTAATCAAAACTAAACTTCTTATTAACATTGGCTCTCCAACTGTAAACAAAAACTCAAGTCATAAACTTGCTAATTGTTTTTCCTATTACATGTCACAGATAAAGACTTGAATGCCAATTGATTCCCACATTCTCAGCGTTCTAACTAATTGCCCACATCTAACTGAAAAACTAGTAAAGAACAATGAACCAATTATAGGATCTTTCCTATAAGTCTTGGTAGTGGGAGAAGAAGCAAGGGGCGACAAGCCACCTACCTTTTTGGGAAAGGTTTGTTCCATTTCAGCCTGAATAACATGCAGACTTCATGTCCGTAGGTTAAGTACTCTTGAGTTGTTTTTCCAGTAACTATGAAGAATTTTTAAAATAGTAAATAAATACCTCTGAGTCTGCCCCATAACCTAAAACCTGGTGGGCCTGTATCTGCCCTGGAGCCATCCATAACAGGCAAGCAGCAAATATTTGTGACTGGAAGTCAGATTAAGGGCACGCAAGGAGTCCCGGTAGCAGATTGTGTGGGTCTCTACAGGCAGTGCGGCTTTGAATTCAAGTCTAAAGTGAATTTATAGACCAAGGATGTGTGTTTTTCTATTAGGCATGATATTAAATGAGGTTTCACTGTTTTTAAAATACACATGTGTGTATTTATCTCTTTTGTATAAAGTGTGTATATATATAAATGAACAGATTTATTAGCCATGATTTTTTTGCCCAGTTTTCCCATCAGCAGAGTATGTATAGATCGTGACTAGTGCAGGGCCCATTAAGGCTCTCTCTCCTCTCAACTGTAAGACTTACAATTTGTAGGCAGGAAAAAATCACACTGAACTGATATTATCTACAATCCTCATTGTCTCTTGGAAGCATGTTCATTTCAATTTCTCAACTTGTTGTAAACTACCTAGAACATATCTGGGACACAGTAAGATTCTATAAGCATCACTTATTACATGTTATTACTTGAGAACAAGGATCCCCTCTTACACTTGCAGGTATCCCCCAGCTGCCGCCTTCCTCAGTGGCAAACATACCAAATTCACAAATCTAAAGTGGGCCTCTATTCAAAAACATCATGGTAATATCGAGTTCAAGTCTCATCTAATTTCCAGTAACTTATAGAACTTTGAGAAAGCTTACTGAGTTTGTATTGTACTAAATAATTTTCTTCTGTAGTGAAAAGTATTTCTTGACTGCTCCCTGGTCCCCAAACAAAAGACAAAACTTGCAAGCTAACTGTAGATCTAAGACATGGGGGTGGGTGGGGGGGTTTGGGGGAGAGGTCAAAATATGGGAGGGAAGAACACAGGGGACTATGGTGATGGTTCACAGGTGATGCAGTAGTGGGAGATTTATGAGGATTTTTTCACTTATTGCACAAAAATGAATAACAATGTAAGGGAAAAAAATTTTTTTTAAATATTTCTTGACCCTCCCAAAAAGGCTTGTTGATTTTTTTTTTTGATTGTATTAGTAAATGAAAAATAAACCCGTGGCTAGATATGTAAAACTCCATCAGGTGTCAACCATCCTACAGAGTGGCGTATTTTTCTAGGTGCACAGACACACTGCACTTGCAGCCAATACCCAGTCCCAGCAGAATATCCACACTACAGCGCTTGCACGAGCTAAAGGGGAAATTCTGAGAGTCATTGAAATTCTTATTGAAAAGATGCCCACAGATGTTGTGGATCTCCTGGTGGAGGTAAGAATTTCGGGTTTTGGGCTTCCCTGGTGGTGCAGGGGGTTAGGACACAACCTATGAAGCTGTCCGCAGCCACTGCAGCACGAGTTCGATCCCTAGCCAGGGAGCTACCCACATGGTGCAGCAGACCTCTCCTGACTCGCCTGCTGCTCCCCTCAGCAGTGTATTTCAGTCAAATTGCCTGTTCTGTTTCCCGCTCTGTCTCTGGTGAATCTCTCACCACCCCCCCACACCTCTGGCCTGTACCCAGTTCTTGTATGCATAAATAAATGAATTTAAAAAAAAAAAAAAAGAATTTCTGGTTTCAAATGACATGTAACCAGCCCACGTTAAATATATCAGTATAGATATAAAAGTCAGCCTCTTTAGTTCCAGCATTTTTTAAAAGAAAGAAAGACAACAAACTAATTTTTGTACCCTTCTTGGAGACCTTATTTAAATTTCCTCAAGTGTCAGAATGTTCACATGGAATTGGCCTGTATTGAGTCATTTTTAAGGTTACATTTTCTTTGAGAGATTTCATTCTGAATAAAACGAAACATGTACTGTGCTTGAATAAGCGGTGGCTTTACTACATATATCTGAACTGTGTTTAAAGTAAGCAAGTCTGGTTTCTTTATTTTATTGTGCTGTCTTATAAGTTTTTTTCATAGACAAGAGAAAGGCTCCCCTATAGTATAAAATATATATAATTTCATTTCGATCAGTATACAGTAGGTTTAAAGTAAATATTAAAATTGAACTGTCTAGAAGTTTCACTGGTAGATGAGTACTAAGTTAATTCAAATTTTATAAAGGTAAGTATTTGAAATTCATTTTAGATCTGTATCTTTTTTTTTTTAAAGGTTATGGACATCATTATGTACTGCCTCGAAGGATCTTTAGTTAAAAAGAAAGGTCTTCAAGAATGTTTCCCAGCCATTTGCAGGTAAAGAAGCTTTTGATAGCATGTAAAGCAAATCATTTTCTATAACAAATTATTATTTTTTAACTTTAGCAGAGTGATTTAATAGTTTTGCTCAGTTAGAAATTCAATTATTAATTCGTATCTGCTCAGTTTCTGAAACAATTTAGTCAGCTTATGGTCCAAAAGGCAAATATAACAGAACCAGCCATCTGACATTAGGTGTGAAGAGGTTTTTCTTAAAACTTCAAAAAGTGAAGAGTCATCATCTATTGGATATGTTTGTATGCTGATGTCCATTACTCCATTAACGTTTACATTACAGACAGAGGCAGCTTCTGGCTGAGAAGAGAAGATATATTTTTCAGCCAATAGAATCCTTGATGCAGCATTTTTGCCGATAAATTTTATTTCTAATATAAAGTCCAGCAGGACGATTTACATATTTTCCTACTCAGTGTAGATGTTTTCCCTATGGGAAAATAAGGGGGGAAAAACTATTAATACTATCAGTTAAAACTTTTATAAACAATGTTGCATATATTAAGTATAAATCTTATGTGTATAGAATAAAACTTATGAAATGGAGATTTTTTAAATATCCAAATATAGTAACAGTGTTTATTTTTCTTTTAGATTAGTTTTTAGTTCTCAAAAGGTTTATAGCTTGAGGGACATTTTATTTGGAAATCTTCTGCCTACATCTAATCAGTAGAAGTAGTGTTTAAATCTGTTGAAGATCACAGATTTTGTAGACTACGTGACAAGGAGGTGTAACTACCTAACATTTTTCTTTGTGAGACAGGTTTAGTGGTGGCCTTAGTTCTCTTTGCTCTGCTCTAGTTCTTTGTCGTAGATAGCTTTGCCTTGGACTGTAAGTTGCCTGAGAGTTGTGGTGTTAACTCTAAGCATCTTTGTCTTCTGGATTTCCTGATGTCTCAGCAAGTGTCTGCTGAATTAGAGGCTATTCACCTAATTCAGTATTCTGAATTCTTTCTTTCCCTGTATTCACAATAAGCCTTAATAGCCCAGGGTCTTCATCTTGCTGTTTCTGATTTGGACCACTCAGAAGTGAAAACAAGAACAGATATGCTCTGATATCGAGCACACTTTCTTTTGCTAGAGACATCAGGCATGTTAGAATATTGTCATTTTCCCACTTAATTCTGGGCTGTGTTCTTTTTGTTAAGAATCACATGTATTAAATCTTTTCATACCAATAATTGATGTTAATGCATGTAAGTGCTGTATTTTCAGTTGATTGTTCTCCAAGGAAAGGTCCAAGTGAAAATGTGGATTTGGATCTGTCTCTTAGTGGAGTTGATGAAGCAGTTTTGTTAGCACTTATCTTACCGAATGTCAGCAAAGCATTCCTTATAGCACCAGTCACTGCCATGTAAATAAGTCTCCTGGAGTTACTGTGAGGAAATTGCTCCATGTTTGAAGGGCCTGTCTTTCCCCTTTGCTGGAAGCCTTCCTGCGCAGCATATAACTGTTCCTTAAATCAGCTTAGCTTGCTGCCTATCCACTTTGTTTACTCTTGTTTAATCACTAGAGAGTAAGGACTCTGCTTGAATGCTAAGGAGACATGTGTCTAAACTGAACACTCAGTATCAGTTTTCTCTGATTTGGCAGAAAGCATTTTGATTTTTGCTTATTAATTTGATACCATTTATTGAATACCTACTATGTATCAAGTATTAGCTAGGCCCTGGGGGTACAATGATGAATAAGATGTTATCCTCAAGGAGCACAGAGTCTAATAGGGCAGGTCATTATAAAGATAAATAATTCCAGTTTATTGGGAGCTATGTTATGTGCTGGCATGGAATACACACCAGGGACAGAGCTAGGAATTAATGCAGGGCTTAACTCTGGGTAAGGGAGTCTGAGAACGTTTCATAAAGAAGAATGCAGACTAATAATAATATGTGTGAAAAATGCTATAAAAATAAAAGTGACTGCCAAATGGAGGAAAGGATTTGTCCTCTGTAGGACAGTGGTGGTAAGAATCGTGGTTGGTTCTGGGAAAGCTTTAAAGAAGAGGCGAGGAGGTGGGCTTTGCAGAATATTTGGTGTGCGCCATCTTGAATTGCAGAAAGAACCAGATTGGCAAACGTCTGGAGGCATCAAAATGTACAGTGAGTCTGGTAAATGCTGTGTAGTAATGTTTGGAATGCAGGCTGAGGATGGAAATCTACTATAATGCCAGAATATGGGGCTTTGAATTCCATACAAAGATATTTGGACATTGTTCTATACACAATGGGAGTCAGGAAATTTTAAGAAAAAATCTGTAATTCTTTGGCCAGAACACAGTCAATAAGACATAATCTTACATAATACCAGATTTGTAATTAATAGTTATTGACTCCCTCTTTTTAAGTTATGTTGATATTATTAGAACTGTAAAGATAATAAGCCACACAGGCTCATTTATTTAAGAGTTAATCCATGAACATAGGAAGATGAGTAGCACTATAAGATTATATAGTAAATGCTAAATTATTATTAGTTGGAACAGACAGTAAATTGTGGAGGATTTCAGAGAACACTAAGTTTAATGACACCTCAAAGTTTTTATAGGTCAGTGCCACATTACCTGTTGACTGATTTATACTAAGTTGATCAATGAATAGCAACAAAGATATCTGTATATCAACAGAAGTTAGATGTTTTGTTGAATATTTGCAATGTCCACACCATTGTAATAGGTGCCTTATCCCACTTATCAGCAATCTATTTATAAATAAGTGCCCTTCACTAAATATGAAATTCCAGTCAGTCCATAACATAAATGTCTGTGGTTTAATTATGTGATATTAATATAATCTTTTTATAGCTTTTCCTTTTCTTTACCCTTTCTTAATGATACTATGGGTTTAAATGTAGGCTAACCCCTATAATGTTGTTCTATAGCCATATTCAGCTGCTATGATTGGTATATCATAAAAAAATATAAAATTTCATTGTGTTTTTTTTAAATGAGATGGTATTGTCAAGAGTCAGCAAAATGCTCTCTAATTAGGTACTTAGAAAATGTTAGCTTTCTGTGAGTCTCTCCATCTTAATAAATCATGTGAGAACCCAAAATATATATGTGAAATTAGTTAATGTATATTTGAAAGTATTTTATAAGTGTAAAAGGTACAGACTATTAGCATTTCCATATATGTAAAAAATTGGTTTATGTTTTAAAATATTAAATAATTTTTAGTTAATGTTATGAAGGTGATCTTTATATAGATCTTCAATAATTTGGCAATTATTCTGAGATTGCATAGTAAAATAAAATTTCCATTTTATTGTCATCATAAAAGTCTTGGGCTTTAGCTTAGGCTAACTTCTGTATTTTGCTATATACTAATAATCAGTTTTATTACTTCAGGTTTGTTTGTTTATTCATTCCAATTATTAATGTTCATATAATGACATTGGACATTTTAATGAGTGATGAATTCATTTGTTCACTTATAATGTTAACTGAATTTCTTTGTTCTCTGGCATCTTTAGTCAAAACAATCTTAAAGTTTAAGCTACAAATTGTAAATTCATTGAAAGAAAAGAGGATTAATAACAAAACTTGATTTTTCTGATTTTGTTCATATAACAGCATTTCTATCAATTGTTAAGATTTCTGGTACTGTCTTTGGCTTGAAAGTAAAAATAGATGAAAACAAATGCTGTTAAATCTGATAGGCATTCTTTCTCATCATTGACCAAACCTTACATCCTGATATTGAAACATGAGGTTACTGCAATGTGTAATTATCATGATACAAAAGGATTGTAATTTTTTTTTATTTATACCATTTACAAATTCCCAACAGCTTTCAAGCCCATTCTCACAAATTCCTTAAGAAAGGCATTATATAAATTAACATCTTTTTGGAGAATTAGCTAGTGATATTTATTAGTCAAGTAGCTCCAAGATAAAACCCAACCCTTCCTATTCATAGTTCATTGTTCTGTTATCCAATTTTAACCTGCATCTTTTTTCCCAGCTATATAGATATATGATCTCTACTTACCTTATTTCATAAAATATTCTAAGCAGCTTTCAAAGTTAATATAAGATATAAATAGTGAGGGAACTGAGTCAAAGGAAAATAAGAGTAGAATGAAAGACACAGCCAACATGAACTCAGAAGTGCTAAGTATATGCCAGAGGCAAGCCCAAAATTTGTCTCTAAGTTGAGCAGCCAGTGTGCAAAAGGGGAGCGGCCCTTTCACAGTCCAGATGCAGTGTGGGCAGGATAAGAAGTTGCTCAAGTGGAAACAGCTGTTTGTAGCACTGAGATCAACAAGAAGTTGTGAATCCTCTGATTAAAGATAAAATATATGTCTTCATAGACCATGTAGAGATTTCGTGACTTATGAAAGTGTTGAGTGGTAGCTCAGCTAAATATTAACCAAAGTACTTTCAGTGCCTATTAGTTGAAAGAACTCAGAACACAGATAAGAAGGTGGAACTTAAAAATCAGTATTGAATGCTTACTCCCTGTCACAACCTGTGGGCAGTATTGATCCCTAAGTGTTCCTGGGCTGCCTTCAAGGGAATTTCCTCAGGTCTAGCCTCCACCTGAGTCACAACATCAGACCATCATGGAGCCCCGGAGGCTGCGCTGAAGGACTCCTCTGATGAGTCTCTGGCACACCGAAGTTTGAAAACTAGCACTCAGATCATCCAAAGTTGAGATCAACAATATCTGAGTCATTACTCTTGGGGGCCATGTTTTTTTATAAAATCTTAGATCTGTGAATGCTTATTTATTTACATGTTGAATAAATTCAGACTTTCTGAGGAAACAACCTGAAACATTCCTTCAACTCATACATTCCAGTGATGCACCAGTAGTTTTTAAGGACTTACTTTTAGACACTCACAGAATGACCACTGAAGACTTTAACTTCAAACTATTCATTAATCGGCTATTACATGAAACCAAGTTTTAAAAAACAAAACAAAACCGCAAAACTTAGAAGCTAGTATTAAAAAAACACATGATCCATTTATTCCTCCA